CTTTTGTCCGTTCGACTGGAAGATTGCATAATTTTTCAACGTAGATGCGTTCCCTGGTCCAGCTGTTAAGCTAACGTTAAATTCCACTGAGATAAATTGTTGGTTGGTCAGACACTTTGATCGCCGCTAGGAAGATCGCTTGGGTTTGCTGTTCAGTCACCTCATTGTTTCACTTTGTAAAGGTTTCTGTTGGACTTGTGTACTTTTGTTGTTGTTGCGTTTAGAAGGAATTCTGGACTCACCGAATGCACCTCGTCACAGCTCTTTGCGAATTTGTGCACTTGCGTAGATAATTAATTGCTTATCGGCAAAAGTTGCGAATAAAGTTGAAATATTTCTTTGATAATTTGTGCAGCTACTTTTAATTATGGCAGGCAGACCATCGGCTCCAAAACAGATAAGCAATAATATTCTACAAGTTGATCAACTGGCAGCTGTAGATGTCAGACCTGATGATTTATATAGAATAATGAACGATAAACTACAGTGGTTGCAATGGCTCGCTATGCACAGAATAATACGGAACTCAGTAGACTGTTCGTCTTGCAACCGTCGGATGTCATTAGTGTCAAGGCTAGAATGTTCCGATAGATTCTCTTGGCGATGTCGTCGCTGTAATACTCGTTGCAGTGTACGGACGGGTTCGTTCTTCGCTAATTGTGAACTCCCAACTGAAAGAATTGTGATGGTAATGTTTTACTGGTTGTTCGAAGTCAAGCAAAAAAATGTGATGTTTTTTTTGAGAGATTGACAAGCTGTGATACAGTAGTCAACTATAACAATTATTTTCGGGTAGAGTGTTACAACTGGCTGCTGCTTAGCAACCCTCAGTTGGGAGGATTTGATGCTAACGGACAGTCAGTGGTTGTTAAAGTTGACGAAAGCTATTTTTTCCACCGCAAGTACCATCGTGGTTACTTTCGTCGTGGTCAATGGGTAGTTGGGCTAGTTGAACGTGGTAGTGGCCGTTGCTGGTTGGAAGTTGTTAATAGGCGAGATGCGACAACATTGGAACGCATCATAAGTGAGCATGTGTTACCAGGAACGACGATTGTCACCGATGCCTGGCGAGGCTACAACAACGTTGGTCAACTCAACAATAGCATATATGAACATCTCGTTGTTGTTCATGCTATTAATTTTGTTGACCGATACACGGAGACATCCACACCCAAACAATTGAAGGGCTGTGGATGCAAGTCAAAAGGAAACAGCGTTTCCAAGGCGGCACTAGTCGTGCATTGTTTAATACATATTTAGCCGAATTTCAGTGACGCCACAGTCACAAAGAACATGTTTTTGGACAGTATTTACAGCTGTTGTGCCACAATTTCGACATATAACTGTCAAATATTATTGGCAGAGTTGCCACTTTTCTTTGACGGAAAGTGTATTGCATTTTGTTTTCTGCATTTCCTTCTTTTCGTCTGTCATTTCATTTTCTCAGTGACCACACTAGCAGGTGGTACACACTTCATTGATACTGAACATCCTCTTGTGTTTAGATAAGTTGTAGCCAAGTATATCTTCTCTGCTATGTCGTTTCTACTACACATCTTGGTATTTTAAAATCCATCAAAGTAGATATGATATTGTTGCAGGTATAACGCAGCGCTCTCTTTAATATACATCAAATGCATTAGATATTTAGAGAAACAGGCCGACAGTTTTTATTCCTTCTGAAATCCTGATTTGGCTTCTTGTAATTTAATAATCTGATTGAATTTGCTTTGTGTATTATATATATATATATATATATATATATATATATATATATATATATATATATATATATATATATATATATTGTGTGTATCTTATGTATCTTTTTTTTTAAAAATTCCACTGTGTGGAGGGAGAAAAGGAGCGGGGGTGGGGGGTTAGGGTTAGGGGTAGGGGTAGGATTAGATGTTAAAATTTTGACGTAGGGTTTCGAAATAGTGGCCGACAATCTGATGTTTGTGGGCGTGGCGCCACTGAAATTCTGCTAAATATGACGCCAATAGTGTGCGGCTGATGCCCAATCGTTGGCGAATGGTGCGTTTCACCAGCATCCAGAGGCCCTCAATTGTTTGTGTGTGTATGTGACTGTGTACGGCGTCGACGAAGTTGGTCTGGTGGACTACTACCTCGTGCAGATAGATGCCATGCCGTAAGTTTGCCACGTTGCTGTAGCCTCGCCAAGCGTCAGTCACGATGGTCGTTCCCGTATCGTATCGTAATCTTTTATAATCCTCTCCAATGTCGCCGCATCTCGTTTTCGCACAAGCTCCAAGTAGCAACGGCCAGTCTCACGCTCTACTAGCCCGACGATCCAACGACCGTGACGGATGCGACCGCGCTGATACTTTCGTCGGAAGAAGTAGCTCTCGTCTACTTCGACCACGATAGATCTGCCGGTCTCATCGAGTCCTCCCAGCTCCACGGTGTGTCTCAACATCCAATTATAGCATTCCTGACGGAAATAATTGTTGTAGTTGACAATGGTGTGCCAGTTCGTGAGTCTCTCGAGGACCATGACAGTCGCTGAACTTACGCCGGAGAGCCAGTAGTACATCATCATGAGTATTTTCTCGGTCGACATGTCGCTGTTGGCGAAAAAACGACCCAGTGCGAACACTACACCTAGTATTACAGCGATAACATCGCCAACCGTATCTGTCGCTACAGTCTTGCCGGGGACATAGGAACATTGGCCGCGTGCATGAGGTACACGGTTGCGTGTTCCTTATCAGTTAGCCACCGCAACCACGCATACTTATGTCATTATGGCATACAGGAGTTACGTCCGTGGCAACTAAGTCGTGCGTCGGAATAACGATGTTAGTTATGTGAGTGCGTCTAACTGCCATGTTGCTTCTTGTGTCGTTTGTTTCGTTGTGGCTTTTCCGATCACTGTTTGGAGGGCGGCCACGCTAGAGAACTCTCAGTCGTCCAAGGCTGTTTATTCTTCGTCCGGATTTGCCAGTAGAGCCGAAGTGAAGACTGATGATGATGATCTTAACGTTGCTACCCAGCCACACGGCGCTCTGATGGATCGAAAATTATTCCTCCCCACGTCACTTCAGCGCTCCGATGGATCAAAAATTATTCCTCCCCACGTCACTTCAGTCGATCGAAAACTATTTCTTTCCGATGGATCGAAAATTATTCCTCCCCACGTCACTTCAGTCGATCGAAAACTATTTCTCCCCACGGTGCTAAACTTCAAACATTGCGCAGAAGTGAAAAACTGATGATGATGGCTTCAATTATTATTTCACGGCGCTTAACGGCAGAAGTAAAGACTGATGATGATGATCTTAACGTTGCTACCCATCGACACAGCGCTCCGATGGATCGAAAATTTTTCCTCCCCACGTCACTTCAGTGCAGCGAAAACTATTTCTTAACGGCAGAAGTGAAGACTGATGATGATGATCTTAACGTTGCTACCCATCGACACAGCGCTCCGATGGATCGAAAATTTTTCCTCCCCACGTCACTTCACAGCGCTACTTCACAGCGCTTAACGCGCAGATGTGGAAACTGATGATGATGGCCTCAATTATTTCACGGCATTATTGGTACGTATTGTTCCATATTTTGTTGTTCCATATTTTGTATAACACGTCACTTCAGCGCTCCGATGGATCGAAAATTATTCCTCCCCACGTCACTTCAGTCGATCGAAAACTATTTCTCACAACGCTTAACGCGCAGATGTGGAAACTGATGATGATCTACGTATTGTACCATTTTTTGTTGTACCATATTTTGTATAACTCCTTTATAACCCCTTGACCTCTTTGTAACCTCTTGAACCCTTTGAGGCTCTAACAGGAATGTTTTGGACAGCAAATAATATGGGGCCGGTATTCGGAAGAGTGCCCAGCTTTCTAATCACTGTTTTCTGTCATGCCAACCAGTGAGGGATAGGCGTGCCTTTATGCTGATATGAGATGTATGCTTTATTCATTTAACCCCTTTCTGCCTATATTTTATTACACTGGTTTTTTTTTTTTGTTTACTTGAATCTTATATATTTTTTTGTCAGGTTGATGATTGGTTGAGAAATGTGTCTGTTAAATCCACACATCCCAATGAATCCTCTAACTTGTCTCACTGTTTTTGGGTGAGGTAGCTCTGATTGTTTTTACTTTTTCTTTGTCAGGTTTATTACGATCTTGATTTTTTAGAAAACCTAGATATTTCACTTCTGTCTTCATGGACTCGCATTTGCTAAGTTTCAGCTTCACTGAGTATTCTCTGAGTCTGTTGGAAACTTGTTCAACATGTTCTAAATAAACTTTTACTTAAAATAGGCACTCTGCGCTCCGCTCAATACTTGATCCATGAAGTTCTTATAGGTGGCTAGGGTTCCCGTAAACCGAACGGCATTCGAAGCCACTCTACGTTTACTGCTGAAGATGGGAAGGAAGCGCTTATGGGATGTCCAGAGTGCTGTTATGTCGATTCTACATTTAACATTTATAATGTATTATTATGTTTTATCTGATACCTAAATATAACATTTGCTGTGTGGGTGTCAATGTTATACGTGCCACACTGTGGGATACACCTGCATGTGATGCTAATGTTTTATAAACAACCAGAACTCTGTTGATACGTCCGGCCTGTCATTTAAACCAGACGCATACTATCTATTTTAATCAGGTTGGAAAGGTTAGGACACATCTTGAAATGGACTGAAACATATCCCATCAGCCCAAGAACTGGAGCGGCAGTCTGAGATTATTTGTGTGTGTGTGTGTTCGTGTGTGTGTGTGTGTGTGGGGGGGGGGGGAGGTGTGTGCGCCAGTGCCCCCTAATATGTTTCAAATTTGATTGTGTCTGCGTCAGATCCTTGATGATGTCGGCTGAAACCCGGCAGGCCATGCGAACACTGGGATCTGTGGCATGCAGACAAGGTAGATGGTGCTGAATTCGTGTGTGGGCTGTTACAATTAAGGGACACATCAACTAGGTAGAAGACCCACGTGTGAGGAAATCGCATCATTATGAGTGTGACTTGTATCGGCAAACTCTGGGCTTTGACCTCATTCGTGGCGTCAGTTGCCTGTGCAGTGGGTTACTACTTCCCCTACTGGCTGGAAGGTTTCTACGTCACGGACAATGGCGAACTTGTGCCCATGTACTTCGGCGTTTTCCGGAGATGTGCTTACCCCAGACTTGGAGCTGACGGTCGAGTAGAAATCGTCAACGAGTGTGGCATCTACAGCTCATTCACAGACATCCCCAGCCTATACTGGCAGGTACGGTGTTGTCAGTGTGTGGCTTTTACTTCATACATGGCAGTGATCACTGATCATGTCTATGTACTTACATGACAGGTACTGTGTTTTCATGTTATGCTATTACCGCATTCAAGGCAGTGGTCACTACTCATGTCTATGTGCTCACATGACAGTTACTGTGTCATTATTAAGCTATTATATAGGATCTATAACGGCACTAAAATATAGTGGGACTTCTGTAATACAGTTTGACATGTGACCTATACCAGAACTCAAATAAGTAGACGACAAACTTTTTTTTTCAACAGTGTACAAGGTTTCAATTTGTGGCTCTACTGGCAAATCTGGACGAAGAATAAACAGCCTTGGACGACTTAGTCAGAGTTCTCTCCCTTGGCCGCACTCCAAACAGTGATCGGAAAACAAACGAAACAAACGACACACTTACCTATCATCCTGCGGTTGCGTGTAGGGCTGCGTACGGTTGCGTGGGGCATCGTGGCATCATCATATGGTTGCGTGCAGGGTTGCGTACGGTTGCGTGAGGCATCGTGAATGGTTGTGTAGTCATCATGCGATTGTTGGGTTAGAGTTAGGGGTAGGGTTAGTGGTAGGGTTAGGGTTAGGGTTAGTGGTAGGGTTAGGGTTAGGGGTAGGGTTAGGGGTAGGGTTAGGGTTAGGGGTAGGGGTAGGGTTAGGGTTAGGGGTAGGGGTAGGGTTAGGGTTAGGTGTAGGTTTAGGGGTAGGGTTAGGGGTAGGGTTAGGGGTAGGGTTAGATGTTAAAATTTTGACGTAGGGTTTCGAAATAGTGGCCGACAATCTGATGTTTGTGGGCGTGGCGCCACTGAACTTCTGCTAAATATGACGCCAATAGTGTGCGGCTGGTGCCCAATCGTTGGCGAATGGTGCGTTTCACCAGCATCCAGAGGCCCTCAATTGTTTGTGTGTGTGTATGTGACTGTGTACGGCGTCGACGAAGTTGTTCTTGTGGACTACTACCTCGTGCAGATAGATGCCATGCCGTAAGTTTGCCACGTTGCTGTAGCCTCGCCAAGCGTCAGTGACGATGGTCGTTCCCGGCAGTACGTGATCTTTTATAATCCTCTCCAATGTCGCCGCATCTCGTTTTCGCACAAGCTCCAAGTAGCAACGGCCAGTCTCACGCTCTACTAGCCCGACGATCCAACGAATTGTTAGGCTAGAATTTGTACCCAAACAAAGTCAGTAAAGTTCCCTGTTCGTGCCTTAGGCCCATCGGGCATATAGGACAAGCACCCATATTTTTACAGATTAATCAGCACTAGTTGGGTAATGTGTTCGTCATTTAGGGTCGAATAGGACAAGTAATAGAGAGTGGGACAAGTAATAGATAGTGGGACAAGTAATATATAGTGGGACAAGTAATATTCAGTGGAACATGTAGAGTACAGTGAGAGTACCAGGGAGCAATTCTAAGACGGAATAATCTATTCAACAGATCAGCACTGAGACTGAAAATGATCTATTCAACAGATCAGCAGTTTGACTGAAAATGATCTATTCAACAGATCAGCACTGAGACTGAGAATGATCTATTCAACAGATCAGCAGTTTGACTGAAAATGATCTATTCAACAGATCAGCACTGAGACTGAGAATGATCTATTCAACAGATCAGCACTGAGACTGAGAATGATCTATTCAACAGATCAGCAGTTTGACTGAGAATGATCTATTCAACAGATCATCAGTTTGACTGAGAATGATTTATTCAACAGATCAGCAGTTTGACTGAGAATGATCTATTCAACAGATCAGCACTGTAACTGTTGGAGCTGGGACCTGTCTAGCGCTACTTCTGTCTCTGACGTCCCTAGTGTGTCTGTGCGTCAGGGACATCATCACAGTCAAAGTGGCCAGGACTGGGGGTGTTCTCCAGCTGTTGGCAGGTAAAGCTGTTTTTCATCTTTATGCTCTAGAAGTACTTGACTCTAAAATCCCTACTCTTCTTGCCTTCATAGCCATAAAAAAATAGGCAGCAATAGTCGCCCCAAAGTTTATCCTGTTGACAGAGGCACACTCCCTCAAGTTCATCCTACTCTGACAGAGACATACTCCCTCAAGTTCATCCTACTCTGACAGAGACATACTCCCTCCTGTACTGACATGTCACATGTGCTCATCCAACTCTGACAGGGACATACTCCTTCCTGTTCTGACATGTGACATGTGCTCATCCCACTCTGACAGGGACATACTCCATCCTATACCGACATGTGACATGTGCTCATCCCACTCTGACAGGGACATACTCCATCCTATACCGACATGTGACATGTGCTCATCCCACTCTGACAGGGACATACTCCATCCTATACCGACATGTGACATGTGCTCATCCCACTCTGACAGGGACATACTTCATCCTATACCGACATGTGACATGTGCTCATCCCACTCTGATAGGGACATACTCCATCCAGTACTGACATGTGCTCATCCCACTCTGACAGGGACATACTCCTTCCTATACTGACATGTGACATGTGCTCATCCCACTCTGACAGATACATACTCCTTCCTGTACTGACATGTGACATAGGTTCATCCCACAGGGACATACTCCGTTCTGTGCTGACATGTGACATGTGCTCATCCCACTGTGACAGGGACATACTCCGTCCTGTGCTGACATGTGACATGTGATTATCCCACTCCGTCAGGGACATACTCCGTCCTGTTTAAACGTCTGTAATCATCCTGAAATTGACATTTGCAAAACTCACTCTTGTAGAGACATCTTTGATAATCTGACACCTGAAAACTCTCATTGACAGGACAAACTCAATAAATTATAGGCAGATATGATTCAATGGTCGATATTAGTTAACGTCACATAGAGAAAATATAGCACATACACAAACCAAATATCCTACACATGCCAGACACAAACGATAACTACTGAGTTGTGAGTGCTAGACAGCCTGGTTTCTGGTCGCCATAGATACTTGATAGGACGAGGAATCGATCAGCTGTGTCCTGACCTCGACCTCATTCTTTAAACTAGATCCTGGCGACAGATCGATATTTTCCTGCTGGCAAAATCTCTTCTTTCGAGACAGTGATTCAATGGAGGGGGTGGAGGGCGTGGAAGGAGTTGGGGCCTTTGTGATAAGTCTGTGCTTGTGCGTATCTAGCGGGACATGAGAGGAGTTGTCGATGAGATTGTTTCATGTCCACAGACACAAAACTGGAAGCAACCGTACTGGCTGTCGGGCAGATTAGCCGCAAACAAGACATCATGGGGTGTCTGGTGGGATGGGGGATGCGTGGTTTGATGATCCAGCAGTGTTGTGTGACCTAATAGGAAGGGTGGCTTAAAGAATTACCGCCCCAACCCAGGTTTTGCCCACATGTTGTGGGGGGGGGGGGGGTGGGCGTGGTTGGGGTGATTATGGCAATAAACCCTCTTAAAATATTTTTTGGGGCGGGGGGGGGGGGGGTTGAGGTGACTAAAGTGGTGGTGGGGGGGGGGGGGTGTCTTGAGTAGTTCTTATGTTAACTCAGTGGCTGCGATAGTCAGTATTCGCTTGTTCTGCCAAATGTTCAACTCAAATTCCCGTAACCCAGTCTTGTGACACAGTTTTATTTCCATGCTTCCCAAGTATAAGCATGCCAAGACGGAACAAGTGGTTCAGATAGTCTTAGTTTGTCTCTTGAATGTGTTTACATCACAGCCAGTGATCCAACAAATCAAAGTCTGTTTAATATTACGCATAATGCCCACTGAGTATGACGACAATTAATTATTAGCAATAACGACGGACACATAATTAAAGTTATTGTTGCTGTGTATTTATATACTGTGATAAGTACATTTAACACAATGATGCTTCCTACACTTATTTCCTTGACACCGGCGTCTTTCCTTGGTCGTCTTTTTAGCGTGGGTGATGTGTCATGTCTGCCCCGTTTTTGCCTCGTCTATATCACACATTCCGTCTGTCCACCTGTTTATCTCCGTCTCTCTTCCGTATCTCGATGTGGCCTTGTCTGACCAACGTTCTAATCACTGTTTTCTATCATGCCACCCGGTGATGGATTGGCGTGTATTGATGCTGGTCTGAATGTGTACAATAATTAGTTAACCCCTGGTATTAACTCCTTTTCCCAGTCTGATTGCTTTGCTGTATTAAATGTTCCACTCACATTTCCGAAACCTAATCAGTATTTGCTTGTTCTGCCAAGTCCCACTGAAATTCCCTAAACCTAGTTTGTTTTACCGTGTTCTGCTAAATGTTCCACTCAAATTTCCGCAGCCTAATCTGTATTTCCCTGTTTTGCTGAATGACCCACTAAAATTCCCTAAACGTAGTCTGTATTTCTGTGTTCTGCTAAATGTTGCACTCACATCACCGACAACGCAACTGTATTCCCACGTTCTGCTGGATGTCACAGGAGATCCACTAACTAGCCAGCCTCATAATGACCGACACTTTGGTTTATAAAGTTCACGGCAATTTCAGTCCGTGTAATTGAAAGGTCAACGGTTATTATCTTTGGATGTGTTACTTTCCTTAAACTATTGCTTTAAATCGTTAGTTTATGTGACTGTATCTGTCTGTGTGTCGTATCTGTATGTTGAAATGTATATATATATATATATATATATATATATATATATATATATATATATATATATATATATTATGTGTGTGTGTGTTCCCCGTGTGAGTTCTGGGGCTCTCTTGTGTAGGAAACAAGAAGAGACCCACTGCCTTCCCAGCAAGCATGTCGTAGGAGCAGACTAACTGGGGACTTCCTTCGAAGTCGGAGTGCATTTGCTTGATCGGCAAGGAACAACCAGCTGCACATAAATAAGCCAGTACGTGCAAAACGTAGGCCCTGGCACAAAGTCAAAGTCCAAATGGACAAACAACCAGGACACAAGAGCTTACAGCCAGTGAACGAAGAAGAAAAAGAAGATATATGTGTGTGTGAGTGTGTGTTTGTGTGTGTGTGCGTGTGAAATTTGCGGTAGTCTGAAGGAGAGATAGATTGTCTGTTAAAGCTGTGAAGTGTTTTTTCCCTAAACTGGGCTTGAGTGTTGGTTGACATTCTCTGATCATCTTTCTGCAGATCTGTTGGTTGACATTCTCTAATCATCTTTCTGCAGATCTGTTGGTTGACATTCTCTGATCATCTTTCTGCAGATATGTTAGTTGACATTCTCCTATCATCTTTCTGCAGATCTGTTGGTTGACATTCTCTAATCATCTTTCTGCAGATCTGTTGGTTGACATTCTCTGATCATCTTTCTGCAGATCTATTGCTTGACATTCTCTGATCATCTTTCTGCAGATCTGTTGGTTGACATTCTCTGATCATCTTTGTACAGATCTGTTGCTTGACATTCTCTGATCATATTTCTGCAGATCTGTTAGTTAACATTCTCTGATCATCTTTCTGTAGATCTGTTGGTTGACATTCTCTGATCATCTTTCTGCAGATCTGTTGATTGACATTCTCTGATCATATTTCTGCAGATCTGTTGGTTAACATTCTCTGATTATCTTTTTACAGATCTGTTGATTGACATTCTCTGATTATCTTTCTGCATATCTGTTGGTTAACATTCTCTTATCTTCTTTCTGCAGATCTGTTGATTGACATTCTCTGATCATCTTTCTGCAGATCTGTTGGTTGACATTCTCTGATCATCTTTCTGCAGGTCTGTTGACATTAGTTTATCACCTCTCTATGCCGGCGCAGGGCTGTTGGTTGATATTATCTGATCACCTCTCTATGCCGGTGCAGGGCTGTTGGTTGACATGCTCTCAGTTATCTCTCTCCATGACAGTTGCTTGACATTTATTATCTGATCACCCCTCTATGCCAGCGCAGGTCTGTTGGTTGACATTATCTGATCACCTCTCTATGCCGGCGCAGGTCTGTTGGTTGACATTATCTGATCACCTCTCTATGCCGGCGCAGGTCTGTTGGTTGACATTATCTGATCACTTCTCTATGCCGGCGCAGGTCTGTTGGTTGACATTATTTGATCACCTCTCTATGCCAGCGCAGGTCTGTTGGTTGACATTATCTGATCACCTCTCTATGCCGGCGCAGGTCTGTTGGTTGACATTATCTGATCACCTCTCTATGCCAGCGCAGGTCTGTTGGTTGACATTATCTGATCACCTCTCTATGCCGGCGCAGGTCTGTTAGTTGACATTATCTGATCACCTCTCTATGCCAGCGCAGGTCTGTTGGTTGACATTATCTGATCACCTCTCTATGCCAGCGCAGGTCTGTTGGTTGACATGCTCTCAATTATCTCTCTGCAGGACTCTCAGTTGGAGCTGGTGTGGCTATCTACCCGCATGGCTGGGACTCCACCCAAGTGGTTCAGGCCTGCGGACACAGATCCAGCAGCTACTATCCAGGTCAGTTCCAGGAATTATGACAACGACAGGCAGCGCTCAACACAGAAAACATCACAACAAATAATCTACATCCATTTGTGAAAGTGGCAATATAGGGCACAATAAATAATCTACATCCATTTGTGAAAGTGGCAATATAGGGCACAATAAATAATCTACATCCATTTGTGAAAGTGGCAATAAAGGGCACAATAAATAATCTACATCCATTTGTGAAATTAGTAATATAGGGCACAATAAATAATCTACATCCATTTGTGAAAGTGGCAATATAGGGCAGAACAAATAAATGAGATTGTAACATCTACGTTACTTAACATGGCATAGAAAAAAGACTGTAACAACTATAGTAATAAATAAGACGTTTGCATAAGATGCAGTAAAGTTAAAGTAAAGAACCCTTTTTGTCATGCCTTCAGGGGTATTGGGCATATAGGGCTAGACCTATATTTTACACACCAATCAGCTCTTATTGGGTGATATGGTCAACATTTTGTCGATCGCTTTTACTTCCCAGGCCTGTCGCTGCTACCCATTTAAGGCGGGATTGACCTGTGAGCCAAAGTAATTAAACAACTTTAAAAAACTCAGTCTCTATTTGAACCTGTTCCCAGGATCTTCACATCTATAGGCTAGCATCTAGCTACTACACTAGGGTGACTACCATAATTTATAATACTGGACAGAACTGGACAAATAAATAAATGAAGATTTACAATCACCAATACTGGACACAACAAATAAATGAAGATGAATAATCACTATTACTGGACACAACAAATAAATAAAGATTTACAATCACCAATACTGGACACAACAAATAAATGAAGATTTACAATCATCAATAATGGACACAACAAATAAATGAAGATTTACAATCATCAATAATGGACACACTAAATAAATGTAGATGTATAATCACTATTACTGGACACAACAAATAAATAAATTTACAATCACCAATACAGGACACACTAAATAAAGGAAGATGTATAATCACAATACAGGACACACTAAATAACGGAAGATGTACAATCACCAATACTGGACACACACAAATAAATGAAAATGTGTAATCAAAAACACTCAACACAATAAAAAGAAACAATAAGACAGTAAAAGCAACAATACTGGATATGATAAATAGAACATCAGACTGTATAACGTACAGTGCTGAAGACGATAAATGAAAAATGAGCCTTATAAGCTACAGTACTGGACATAATACATAAATGAAGCTTTATAAAGCTACAGTACTGGACATAATACATAAATGAAGCTTTTTAAAGCTACAGTACTGGACATAATACATAAATGAAGCTTTATAAAGCTACAGTACTGGACATAATACATAAATGAAGCTTTATAAAGCTACAGTACTGGACATAATACATAAATGAAGCTTTATAAAGCTACAGTACTGGGCATGAGAAACATATAAATAGTCGATTATTGCTGTTTTTGTTTTGTCTATACATCACTTACTGCCTGTGTCACTGGCTTGCTCTGGTTGATATTTTCAGGTGACTGCTCGCTCTACTGGGCCTTCTACACCACCGCGGCAGGAGCAGGTCTCACCATCCTGTGTTCAACCGTGACATGTCAGGCTTTCAAGCAGAAACCATATTACCAGAGAACTGCCTATGATGTCTAGCAGGGCAATTCAGATGAGGCTTTGGCCGAGCAGACAGGACTCTCTGACCATAATGGACATGATTGTGCTCCTAACAGAAGCTTGTTTAAAATACAGTTTGTTCTCATATTTTTAGGTGGTTGACTGATTGGCAGAATTCGGGGAAGTCCCTTGAGCGAGAGACATGAGGACCCCAGAGAGTTCGTAGTGAAAGTCGACCCTGAGTGGAACAAATTGAACGTTGATCCTGAATGGCTATGAATTGGTTGTAGTAAAGCCATACTGAAATGTATCTGAGGACAATGGAAGTGTCCTACTGACTGTTACTTGTGCTGACCGTGTGCAGGTCCGTGTTGACTGTGGCGCGTCTGTAGACCCGAAGGTGTGAGCGAGTGAAACTTGCCTGCAGGGTGTAAGTGAGGTTATTATGTTGATTCTTGTCGCTTATATGATATTAAATAACATTGAATAAAGCTGGAACTGATAACAACCATCATCGACTGTCCTTTGAGTCGCGTGATAGTTTGTTGGAAGATGTGTCTGCCTCGTCTACCCTTTTTATCTAAGACAACGGCCAGAGTGGAGTGGGTACGAGTAAAAGTAAGTACGAGAAAAGCCCAGTACAAAAGGAATACAGTCACTCCTTCACAATGGGAACTCATCAGACACTCCTTCACAATGGGAATTCATCTTGTCTGAACGCTACAGTGCTACATTGAACGGTACAAGGGAAATCACAAGAGAGTAAAGACAGAAATTTATTGAGGACAACACACACAAAAAACATGATTGAACTACAGAATGGCCATAGTTTCGGATTGGTTATATGACGGACGATGAAGTTGAAATGAGCAAGAGGTATTATGTAGGTCCAGGACATGCTGTCAAGGGGAAATAATTAACTCATAGACAGACAGAAGTTCATACTTTGTTCAGTCTCAAGCCAACGTTTGCGCCGAGGAAAAAAACTAAGAAGAACACAGCGGGTGAACACTGCCTGAAAGATCGCCCAACATGGTAGAAAATCATGGACGGAGACATTTGAGTGTACTGAGTGTGTAAACAGTGTGTGGTGTTTTACATGGCTTACAGATTCAGCAACGGCATCTCATTTTGACTTTAGTTTCACGTGGAAAAACATCAGAATAGTATAGAGGGATGCAAACGATGGGATTAAAACACCATAGTCGACTCCAAGCAGAAGTGTGTCAAAAGCAATCTAGACAACGTCAAAGCATGATCAACAATAGACAGTTTGCTACAGCCAACACGCCAAGAATTAAACGTTGTAACAACGCGAACTACAAGGAATAATTGAAGCAGAACTCTAGAGTCTGTGTTAATACAGAACCAGTAGTCTGTTACTACTGTATTATTGTGTAGTCGAGCATAAGTGCTGTATTAAAGAAGAACCACAATGTGCAGTGCTGGGCGGTGAAGCATCACTGCTGAACGATCACATACAATGTGCAGTGCTGGGCGGTGAAGCATCACTGCTGAACGATCACATACAATGTGCAGTGCTGGGCGGTGAAGCATCACTGCTGAACAATCACATACAATGTGCAGTGTTGGGCGGTGAAGCATCACTGCTGAACGATCACATAAAATGAGCAGTGTTGGGCGGTGAAGCATCACTGCTGAACGATCACATACAACGTTCAATGCTGGGCGGTGAAGCATCACTGCTGAACGATCACATACAACGTTCAGTGCTGGGCGGTGAAGCATCACTGCTGAACGATCACAAACAACGTCCAGTGCTGGGCGGTGAAGCATCACTGCTGAACGATCACATACAACGTTCAATGCTGGGCGGTGAAGCATCACTGCTGAACAATCACATACAACGTTCAATGCTGGGCGGTGAAGCATCACTGCTGAACAATCACAAACAACGTCCAGTGCTGGGCGGTGAAGCATCACTGCTGAACGATCACATACAACGTTCAATGCTGGGCGGTGAAGCATCACTGCTGAACGATCACATACAACGTTCAGTGATGGGCGGTGAAGCATCACTGCTGAACGATCACATACAATGTGCAGTGCTGGGCGGTGAAGTATCACTGCTGAACGATCACATACAATGTGCAGTGCTGGGCGGTGGAGCATCATTGCCTAACAATTAAATCTGAACTTAACCAACAACATGGCAGCAAGGATAGTGGGAAATATTATTTGGTTGTATTATTTACAAGCTTTCTTCTTGTTGCTTCAGATTATGTGGTGCGATGACATTCGAATTAATTATCAATCTACTATAGTTAAAAAAAAGACAATATTTAGTTTGAATAGTATATTACATTTGATTAGATTGTTTAATAGGGGAGTTAGAACAGGTAAAGACTAAATTTTTGTAAATTTTTCAAGTCTTTTTTAAACATCTTAAAGGTACAGATATTTGAATCAATATTGTGGAACTAGTTCAAATCTCAGATACATTTAGACAGGACGGATTATATTAAAATAACTACAAAAAACTGTCGAAACTGGCTGAATCTATAAATCTTTGAAAACATTTGGGACTATCAGGAGAAGAGTTTTAAAGTTTTGTAAAGGAAAGGCAAAAAGAGGACAAAGAACGAGAAAATGAAGATAAAGACAAATTAAGAGTACAGCAAAAGTTAGATCGAGTGGAAATAGCACAGGCAAGCGCCCACGAAAAAAAGATTTAAAGAGACAAGCGGTTACAGCATGAGGAAGAAATGAAACAGCAGAAAGGAGCTTTAAAATGCAAGCAGTTAAAGCACGAAGCAGTGATAAAAGAACAGAAGTTAATGCTAGGACGAAAGTGTTTTTCGGCGCAGGTTAATGCAGTTAGAGAGAAAATGGAAGCACAAATAAGAACAAAAGAAATGGACAATGAATCGAAAGCAGAATTGGCAGTGCAAAAGGAAAGAGAAAGAGAAGAAGAACATAGATTTAACAAATACAAAACAAAAAAAAGGAAGAGGGGGGGGGGGGGGTAAAGAATATTGGGGAGGAAGACGAAATGAAATGGTGGGTCATTGGGTTCTTACTACAAGTTAGGTTTCATAACATCCCAAAATCTGAATGGACCATACTGTTCCAAAGACATCTCAGGGGTGAACCGTTAAAAGGTTTAGAAACAACGCCGGAACATCTACGGTTATATTTCGACTTCATTAAAGATAAAATAATGGGCCATTACAATTTTAAAGGGCAGGATATAGATTGCTCTTCATTGATCTGAAACCTTTGGGAAAGAAAGACATTTGTGGACTAAACGTTTAAAGTTCAAACAACATTTAAAAGATTGGTGGATTCTGCAAAGATCAACAACACTTATGGTTTGTTAGTAGAGCTACTAACATACAGTAAACTGTTGCAATCGTTACCAAAACCAAAGACAACGTTCCAAAAAGAACAATAGAGTGTTAGGTATGTAAAAAAACAATACCATGTAAATGGCACCTTATGTGACGCGAAGTCGAGGTGAGACAACTATACATTGGAGTTGTGGATTTTACTGGCAAATTAGGCAGTTTTGCAAAAATAGGACAGAAATCAAAGCAGCAGTACGTGAAACATCAGATTCTGATTGAGAAAGCAAACTGTAGTGCTACAGTGAAGCAAGGACAATATACTGTTACATGCTTTAATAGACAATTTCCAAAAAAAAAAAAAAATATTTTAATTTTTTTCGAGGCGAGGAGAAACTTGTAACGATGCCATGGATAGATACAATGTAAAGGGTTGATTTATTGGCGGAATTAAGTCCCTAGCGGAAGAGACATGCCCGTAACGTAGAACTGGTAAAACACGAGATTGTTGAAGTCACGTGTGAACACGAAGTCTGGGGGAATGTCTGACTAGTGGGGCATTCTGTGACAGGACCCCAAGAGTTCGGAGTGAACGGTGATCCTGGGCGAAACGAAGTGAACATTGATCCTGAATGGCTGTGTTGTAATAAAGCCTAGTTGAAATATATCTGAGGACATTGGTAGTGTCCGACTGACTATTGATTGTGCCAACCATTTTGTAAGTCAGCGTCAACCGTAACGTGGCTGTATACCCAAATGTGTGAGAAAGTGTAATTTGCCTGGATGACGTAAGATAGGTTAATATGTTGAGTCCTGACGCTAAAAAGATATTAAATGATATTGAATAAACCTGGAGCTGATAATAAGCATCGTCGTCTGTCATTTGGAGACGTGGGGTAGTTTGTTGGAAGAGAAGTCTGCTCGCCTAATCCGTGGATCTGACCCATAGACAACAGCCTTATCGAACTGTGTACCAACTAAATTAGGAACAAGAGAGAGACCCAATACAAAAAAAAAATGATAAAGTCTGATAGTCTCCACTGTCTCACAATGATAATGTCTGATATTGTCCCATATGTCTTAATGATAAAGTCTGATAGTGTCCCATGCGTCAGAACGATAAAGTCTGATAGTGTCTACTGTCTCACAATGATAAAGTATGATTGGGTCCAATGTCTCACAATGATAAAGTATGATAGTGTCCCATGTCTGACAATGATAAAGTCTGATAGTGTCCCGTGCGTAACAATTATAAATTCTAATAGCGTCCAATGTGTAACAATGATAAAGTCTGATTGTATCCCATGTGTAACAATGATAAAGTCTGATAGTGTCCCATGTCTCACAATGATAAAGTCTGATAGTGTCCCATGTCTCACAATGATAAAGTCTGATAGTGTCCCATGTCTCACAATGATAAAGTCTGATAGTGTCCCATGCCTCACAATGATAAAGTCTGATAGTGTCCCATGTCTCACAATGATAAAGTCTGATAGTGTCCCATGTCTCACAATGATAAAGTCTGATAGTGTCCCATGTCTCACAATGATAAAGTCTGATAGTGTCCCATGTCTCACAATGATAAAGTCTGATAGTGTCCCATGCCTCACAATGATAAAGTCTGATAGTGTCCCATGTCTCACAATGATAAAGTCTGATAGTGTCCCATGTCTCACAATGATAAAGTCTGATAGTGTCCCATGTCTCACAATGATAAAGTCTGATAGTGTCCCA